GTGCACTCAATCCCTTCATCCAGATCATTGATAAAGATGTTAAACAGGACTGGCCCCAATACTGAGCCCTGGGAAACACCACTTGTGACTGGCCTCCAGCTGGATTTAACTCTGTTTAGAGCTGTTAAGACCTGACAATAAATACAAGAGATTTTTTTTTTCCTCATAAATATTTACCTACATTTAAATAACATATTTCATCATATTTTGTAGCTGTTTTCTAGCTACCTTCTACAAAGTCCTGAGAGAGACAGTTAACCAATACAAATGAGAATGGAAAGCTAAGTCCAAAAGGAATCTCACTACTTCCACTAGAGTCGTGGATACAACCATCTAGACAGGAAAACAAATAAAACAATACAACTTAATCCATCCATTTACAGCTAAACAATAGTGTTCAAACTTTTGTATTTTGCATATTTTTAATTTATCAAATGAGCATTAAAAATAAAAAGTTTTCCATCTGATACCTGCTGAGCCTGAAGAAATCACATTCTTGCTGCAGAAACAGTAGAAACTTAGCCAAGTAAATTGTTTGCTGCAGATTATTTATTTAGCTGCATACACAGGCTAAATATTTGCCCCAATTCACTGAACAATCTCTTAGCACCTGAGGGAAGCTTCTACTGTAGATATTAAATAAGTATTAATCCATGCTTTGCCTCTAATTAAATGTCATTTCAGTTATCTTATGTGCATTAAGGGCAAAGGATGATGCAGTTTTGACATCAGATAATTAGACGCCTTACTTTAATTATGCCTCAAGACAGGCTTTGATTCAGAAATCTCATGCTACAGTTAATGTTTCAGTCTCCCTGGTCTGTCACGGAGAAAGAGAATAATGTCAACTCTAGAACTGTGATTCATAACACTGGTGGGGGGAGGGACAGAATTTTGGACATTCATTTTACAAAGCATCTTATTATGCAGATATCCCAAGACAGTGTGCATCTTTACAAAGTTTAAACATAAGCTCTGCTGGAAGCAAACTGTAAGAATCTTCCTGTTGCATTTTTTAAAACATTTAGTAAGAGCGCTTCCATAAGTATCCCAGGGCTGATTACTTTTAATAATTAACATCATACAAATGAGATTAATTAACCTTGTATTCAACTATATCTACTGCTAATTACCTTGATGTTTTATTTCTAATAGCTTTTTGGCTGACCAGTTTTTCCACATTAATAATGTTCCCAAATTCTAACTTCTCACAAAATACATCCTAATATCCTCTCACCCAGAACTGTGTTTTGTTTTCTTCTTTGGTCTGTCAAATGACATTGACTTTTATCTATTAAGTTCCAGACCTGACCTGCAGGTCATGTAACTCTCATTTCAAAATCAAATATCAGAAAGTAGGTTCATGCACAGATCTGTAATTTCTAAGGAGATGCAAGTGTGATCATGTTTTATCATCCTGTTTGCACCTTTCCTGTCGTGCATGTTCTCAGACCATGACTCATCAATGTCTTTTTGAAGGGAAGGATCAAAGGACTCTCCTACTCATACAGGTCCTTTATGTCATCCTTACCACCACAGCTACCCTCACTTACGTTCAGTTCCTGAAGGGAACGTAACTATCAGTAACCAACACACTTTCATGTAATTTTGCATGTAATTTTGCATATAATTTTGTAATCGCCATAAACTTCTAGATCTACTAGTACTCAGCTCTGGCAAAGCAAGTCTTGAAAATTTAAGCAGAGGGCACATATATGCCATAGTCTAGTAAGCACTCTCCGTGCTGTTTGTGGGGAGACTATTTAGATTTCATGCTTTGCTTTACTGTTGTTCTCTTCCAATTCCTCCCCTTTCCCTCATTAAGCTTAATGAATGCATCCATCCAGGAAATTTTAACAACATAATATACAGTAACTTCATACCATAAAGCGGGTTACTTTCCATGTTCATGAAATTATCATATATTAGTGGTCTTAGATCATTAGGTAGCAGCTCCTGAACTGGGAACTATTTGCACTGCCACCCTCCAACAAAAGTCTGCTGTAACTGTACACACCACCTTGTGAAATCTGATGTTGGCAATTCTCAATTTCATCAAAGAGCCAGAAACAGTAAATTACCTAAAGCTTAACCTTAATTTTAAGATTCCATAGACTCCTACAGCTTGTCATTTTCTATTTTAAGCTAAAAGTTAATAGAAAATCTTTATCTCACAAGATCTGATTTCAGGGTTCTTTTTTGCTAAGACTCAAGTCTTTATTTTTGTAATACCATTTAAAAGTAAAAATTTCTGTTTGTGTCAGCAAATAAAATATATCCCCTTTAACACCAAGTGTTGGCCATAAGGTGAAAACAATCATTTTTTTCTATATTAATAAATCTTGTTCTTTGGAGTCTATAAGTATAATTTTGGAAATTTATTAACAATCTCATAACTGTGCATGAAAGTGTATAGCTCACAAACACTACAGGAACCTGCAGCAACTGTTCTGGGCCCTATGGCACGAAACACCACATGCCATCTAACTTTGGGAAACCGTTCTCTTAGTGTTGTGTTACAACAGGAGATGACTCCATAATGCCTGCCTGATGTTTAAAAACCAAAAAGGCTGATTCAAAATGCACTAAGGTCCGTGAGCCTTTCTGTGTGCTGCTCAGGCCTTTTACTAACCTGCACTGTCCACCTCCAGCTGATAGATTGAATCATTTGCATCACACATACAGACATAAACTAACAAATTAGGCAGGCAGCAATTAAACTGATTGCAGCCTGCTACTACCTGATTTGCCTTGATGCAGTGATTTCTTACTCCAATAAATTGTAGGTGTAAAAATGCCTGTGGACAATAGCAGGGCACATGAGTGAAAAGCTACCTTCTGTTCTGACAATAAACTAGAGTTTTCAGCTGGTTTATAGATATATTTTTTCAACTCATATGGAGCCTTATTTATGGCTGACATTTGCTCAGCTTTTGTAAACCTGTATTGCAGGTGTGAAAAGCAAACCTGTGAGCAGCACTACAAACTCACAACCAATCTGAAGCTATGCCACATATGTTGAAACCTATACCTATCTGAGTATCTGCATTTCATGGCATTAACAGTGGATGAATAAGTAGAGACAGCCTTTCTTTCCTGCTCTTACAGCCTATGTGGCTCCTCATCCAAGGCTTTTGAATATTAGAAACATAGCAAGAATAAACAGTCTTGTGCTAAATCTAAATACTGAAAGCACCACAGCAGCTTATATATTCAGTATTTACTTCTGACAGTTAGCTGCATGCTTTAATTTCTTAAAACATTACCTCAAAACCTTAAGATGACCTCATAATCTACCTCTTTCCAAAAAAAAAAAAAAAAAAAAATTGTTTCTGTGAAACTAGTCTAGGAATCTCAAACCAGTTCCCAACATTAAAAAAAAAAAAAATCTACTTCACAAAGAAGTTACCAAAATTGGTACTAGTGAGCAATGTTAGAACAGATAAGAGATTGAACTGCTCCACATCAGGCGTCAAAAAACTTC